ATAATAATAATAATAATAATACAACGGTAGGAATCATTCTAAAATGAATTCTCATTGATGTCAAAAGTTTTAAGTGCACTCTTTTTGCAAATAAGATACTGTAAAAACAGCATAAATTATATTTTTGAAAAACATTCACATACACCGAATAATACTGGGATATCTATCATTCATTCCCTTTAATTAATAATAATAATAATAGTGACCAAAACTTCTGCGACCCATGTTTAAAGAAAAAACACACCAAAGATGTCTGTAGTAGCATTAAATAAAAATCGATTCTTTTAATCGGTTTCAAAAACAAAGCTAGCGTTAAGGTCAAAAACCAAAAACTAAAAATGTACGAGACACTGGCGAAATTTTACGTGCCGTAAAATTAGTTTCCATCATTAATTTGTCAGTATGAATGAGATTTTCATGCAGAAAGCAGGTTCGGTTTCATCCGGTGTAAATCTTAAGACAGGGTTGGCATTTTTTATTGGGGTGCGGCTAATGCATGGACGAACCTTAATAAACCGCAAAATATGGTAATTGGACTGTGGCGACAACTGGCTTCATGTTCTTCACACGTATACACACACATACACACACACACATGAACAAGTACATTAGTGTGTATATAATTAGCTACATTTATGTATACACACACACACATCTATCTATCTATCTATCTATCTATATATATATATATATATATATATATATATATATATATATATATATGTACAGACGCACACACACGCACACACACACACACACATATATATATATATATATATAGATAGATAGATAGATAGATAGATATAGATACTGATATATATCTAAACTCAGTATCTAGTTATATATATATATGTATATGTATATTATCGAGTTATATGCAAACTCTCTCAGTATATATATATGTATATATATATATATATATATATGTATTTATATATATATATATGTGTGTGTGTGTGTGTGTATGTGCGTGCGTATATGTGTGTGTAGTGTGTCAGCATTTATTATGCAAGTTTATGTTTTTACAAAAAAATTTGTATTTATTATTTACCAACATATCTTGGTGAATATATTTATATATCTCATTTAAATTTATACATTATATGAATTTATTTGGAGGTGTGATATTTCATTATGTAACTACAGATTGGTTCATTATATTGAAGTAAATGTTTCTGAGTGCATATATATATATATATATATATATATATATATATATATAGTAACATTTAATTTATAGACGTCTGACAAGACAATGCAATTAAGCTTTTTTTTAAGTTTTCTTGTGTTCATACAAGCGTTTTTTTTTTTCTAGACTCAAAGTGTGTAAAAAATGCTCAAAAAATACCATAAAAACAATACACAAGACCATTCGATCAGAACGAGAACATTCAATTATCGACTATAAAAAATTAAAACAACGAACCTTATCATCAACTATAACAACGCAGCTGCAAAATCTAAATTATAGTGAACCAATATTATTTATGAGTTCCCATGCCTCTTAACGGATTTGTCCTGATCAAATTAAACTCATAAATAATTATATTGGTCATATCACTACATGCCTATCTAGACGACTCACTTTCTGATCACAACTAAATCAAGATTCATTTAAACACACACGGAAACCTACCAAACTTTATCTGCAACATACTTGTAGAAAATATCCTCATCGACGTGTAAAAAAGATTAAAAATAATGGAAGCAAAAATAATCAAAAAAAGGATGAGCCAACAGTCAATAAAATTATGAATACAGCCACAATGTGCTGACCGTGTTTGGAAAATAAATCAGTCATATATCTATACATACATAAAGCACACATACACATTGTTGATAATAGCTAAAAGAATAGCCGAAAGCGCTCGTATATGCAGAAATTTTGAACATTTTTTACAAACTTTGTGTCTTGAAAAGAAAAAACTCGTTCGAACTAAAAAATAAATGAATAAAAAGCTTAATCGCAGCGCCTTGTCAGTCGTATTATATATATATATATATATATATATATATATATATATATATATATATATATATATATATATATATATCAACGTAATTAACAATTATAATGTGTCATTTAGAAATATTACAATCCCAATGAGAAACAAGATATTTAATAATTTATTGATATGAACACAACTTTGTAAAATTACAACAGACCTCACAAAACAATTAAAAAAAACAATTGAAAACATTAACAAAAATAAGAAAATGTTGTTTTATTTATGTGCTATGCGTGATACACGCTTAGGCGATCATCCAAGGCTGTAGAACCCAGTCTGCCCTGATATTTACCCATAGCTGGAGGGAGAAGAAGAGGATTCGTACCTTTCCCAATGGGATTAGCACGTAAGTAAATGTAATGAACTGTTGCTTTATGAATATTAAAAACGAGGATTAGTGAATGAAGTTCGTGTATGAGTGGTAAGAGTAGAAAGTAGGATATATGAGGAAGATGACTATTAACGTTAGACTTGAAGAGGTTAAGATTATAGTGATCGGGAAAACATCCTCTCAGGAGTCTGTTCCGCAAAGAAATGGTTCTTGAGAAGTAGCTGCCCGAATGGAACTTCCTCCTTACCAGTGGAATACGAAGGTAATGAGAATCATTCGACCCTGTCTACATGAGATGTTGGATCTTAACCATGATGGTTAGAACTGTTGGAATTAGTGAATGTAGCTCATCAGAACATTTGCCATCGAAATAGCGATAGATTAATGAAAACCTTGCGACGTGTCGTCTGTAGGAAAGGCGCTGTAGGATGGAAAACAATTAACCCCTCACAAAGCTGCGTAAGCGTTTATGCATTCTATTATGATACCAACCGTTAAATAATTTTGTCAAAATTGCAGATAACTCTAGGCTAATGTTCTTCAGAACAATCGCATGAATTTTATCTGTAGACGTAGCCTTCTTAGAGTCAAAGTCTTTGAAGAGTTTGGAAACTTCCCGAACCAAGATAGGGATATTACAAAGTTTGTGTTCGATAAGAGGAGGAAAATCAGGCAGGGGATAGCCCTTGTCGTCTAACGTGGAGTTCATTGCGAGGAGCTTAGCCTTATCTGACGAAGGACCATTTAAGATAGACATTGACGCTTTTGCCTCTATTGGAAATTTTGTCTGAGATATTTCAGAGCTCACACAAACCAAATCATTTGCATACAACATTGGACGGTTCGCGAATATCTACCCATTGCATTTTCTAAAACTCTTTGCAATATTTTCGGGTAGTTCTGAAACCAGCATATATATATATATATATATATATATATATATATATATATATATATATATATATATATATATATATATATATGTTCAGGTAAATAACATATATGCGTATCTGTAGACTATTTATATGTATCTAAATAGCTAATCCCTGCTGCAGACGCCTGCTTAGGCACCTTCGAGTTTCTGAAAAGAGTTCTCGTTATCTAGTATGATCAACAGTCTTAACAAGGTCAGCATGCTCAAAACTTCGGTCACGATCATCGTGTGGGTCAAAAAATATCATCAACCGCAGATATGACTTCATCATCGCTGCAATACTGATTCCCAGTCAAGTGTTGTTTTTTCTTGTTGGAGAACAGATGATAGTCAGATTGGTCCAAATCAGGAGAATAAGGAGAGTGATCAACCAGTTAAAAGTCCCATTGAAAGCAAGGGGTTTGTTCTTGATAGCCTTTCATAACTACTTCAGCAAGTCGGTATAGTACTCTCCATTGATGGTGTGGTCCTTTTAAAGACAAACAGAATGCCTTATGCATCCCCAAAAAACTCAGGCCATCGCCTTCCCTGTACATAAAACGACCTTGGTTTTCTTTCGATTATGTGTAGGGGGTTGTTTGTCTCCGGCTCAAAATGATGAGGTAGGTAGAAAAGTTCATAAGCTGGTTATTAATCTTTAGGGAAATCTTGCATGCTTTAATTTCAACTCTTTTTATTAATAACTGCATTGTTTCTCTCTAGGTAAACTGACATTTAACTGCCAGAAATAATTATATCGGATATATTACAACATGCCTGACAAGAAGACTCACGTTACATCTTTCTGATCATAGCTCAATTAAGTCTCTTTTAAATACAAATCTACCAAAATCGATCCACAACATACGCGTTGAAAATAGAAATATAATAGCATCATTCACATGTAAAAAGAAAGGCTAAAAATAATGGAAGCATTATATATATGTGTGTGTGTGTGTGTGTGTGTGTGTGTGTGTGTGTGTGTGTGTGTGTGTGTGTGTGTGTGTGTCTTGACGATTGAGTTTAGCTCGGAACAGACTGCCGCGTCTGGGTACTGACTTCAATGTTCATTTTTATATTTACATACACTCTATCCTTGATATTGAGAAATTTAATCTATAAACATAGCATACCTTAAAACTACATTTATCATAAATATATATATAGATAGATATGAATGTGTGTACACGTGTGCAATAGCTTATTTTAACCAAGTATATAAACATGAATTATTTCTTTTTAGTTATTGAATATATATATATATTTATACAGACACACAAATACACACACACACACACACATATATATATACAATAATCTGCATTAATATCTATCTATATATATATATATATATATATATATATATATATATATATATATATATATATGCGAGTATGTAAATGCGGAAATATTGGCATAAGTTCTATAGCATTTGGATAAACGTAGTCCATATACTTTAGAGGTATCTCAGATTTTACAATAATGTGTTTTACATTTGCGACTAATGAAGATATACAACACTACCATTTTATGTGCTGTTAACCTTTAAAATTTAACATTTGGTGCTTATTTTCGCGATTCGGACACACTGCTTTCATGCCTCAGTGGCACGCACTCTACTCTTTCGTCCACCTGGACGGAAAAAGAATTCGAGATGAGTTAATAGGCGAAAAATAAGCGAGTCTGAGATATAGACGAACAAAAAAAAATAGGAGACCACGAAAATCCAAGTTAAAATAAAAATTACAATTGCTACTTCCTGAAGAGTTTGAGAGAAAATGAACTGAGTGAAAGGAATATATACATAGATAGATAGATAGAAATCGACGCCGATATATTGAGAAATATGAATGAAGTTGTCTAAAATTGAAATATAGATTATTGTACATACAACTGCGATAGAAATACATTTACAAAACTAAGATTAACTTCTACGGATTATCAGCCTTTTTATTTAGGTTATTTAAAACCAGAAAAGATTTAGGCTGAAAGAATTTTTGGGATATAATAATAGCTTAATTGTACAAGTCTCATTAATTACTTCATAGCCAGTAGTGGGTGGATTTATACCTTTCTCAAAGTCCTTTGCACGTAAGTAAATATAAAGAACGCAACCGGGGGAAGTGAAACTAGGTTATCCGATTCAAAATTCCGTGCCATTATCCATTACACCATCTGCACATCCAAGCTTTCACCAGCTGGTATTTGCAAGTGGCCACCCATCTAGGTACTGACCAGACTCGACGTTGCTTAACTCCTGTGATCGTACGGGAACCAATATTTCAAAGTGATGTGGCCGTAAGCTACAAGACTAAGAAAGAAGGAAAGAAAGCAATGTTCTTATGCACACAAGGCTAAAGAAATATTACGATTTTGTCTGAGTGTACACACACACACACACACGCACATACGCACACACACATACAAGAAAGCATAAACTAGCTTACAATTCAGCTTTCGGCAGACAGCGCCATCTACAATTTCCTGTTACCGTATGTTTTCCGCCATCTTCTTTTGATTTTCGACATTATTAAATTATGCAATAAAGCTATTAATTTTGCCCTTTTTCCGCATTCTGCTCCCTTCCTCAAATATGCGTATAAACAGACACACAGACACACCGCCGACACACACACACACACACACACACACACACACACACACACACACACATATATATATATATATATATATATATATATATATATATATATATATATATATAAACATTTTCTATGTGTTGATATAAATATATGTGTTTTTATAGATCTGATTACGCTTGTATCATGGTATATATAGCTATGATTACGCCTCTTTCCATACCTACAGATGTTTGTATTTATCTAGATATGCAAGCATCTCTACGTACGTATATATAAGTGTTCATTATATAATTAGCGCATGTAGATGTTAACATATATAAAATATACATGACTATATATTTGTTTATCATTGGTTAAACACTCCTAACCTAGCTTCTTATAAATCTAGTACTATATATATATATATATATATATATATATATATATATATATATATATATATATGCGCGCACACACACACATACATACATACATATATATATACATACATATATATATATATATATATATATATATATATATATATATATATATTTATATTTGTGCCCACATATAAACATATATATATAATTGGTTATAGGCATAGAAAGTCGTATTCATACAGCCACTGGTAATATGAATCTGATCGTCTGTATATGTGTGTTTGTGTGTGTGTGTTTGTCTACAAATTACAAATGTTTATACTCAAAGTCACATACACATCTATCTATCTTCCTATCTATTTATCTATCTAATGTATTTACACATACATATATATATATACGCACACAAATAAACCCATAATGGCATAGATAGATAGATAGATAGATAGATATAGATAGATAGATAGATAGATAGATAGATAGATAGATAATATCCATACGTCCTGTAATTCATCCCACACGCATACACACACACATGAGCACGAACACACATACGCATGTACACACATACACACGCACTCACATACGTACATACAAACGCATGTCAATTTGTGTGTATTTGTCGATGTGTTTTATAAATATAACATTATATATTCTATTAATAATATTTAAGTTATTTTCTGTTTATATTTTCGGTGGTTATATCTCTTTGCAATTTAATTTACTTATATCTGTATATAAGATGTGTGCAGAAATCCTTTCTGCCTGATCAATCTCCCCAAATCACACGCGCGCACACACGTACACGCACCCCCCACGTATATATATATATATATATATATATATTCAATAAGAAATATAATACATAATAATATATTTAATAAGAAATATATATTCTTATTACTCTAAACATTATATTAAGTGAGTACCCATGTTTGAGTAGAGATAGATTTTGTTTCTTAACCAATGTAATGGTCAACTACCGGCCTGTGTTGTCGAAATTCTTTAATAAAGTGGACATGTCCTTAGAATTGCTTTATTGCTATACAGGCTCACAGTGCTTTAGATTAACTGGATTATCAATTAATAGCAGCAATGATAACCATTCGCAGCAGTGATTGCGAGTTTCCCCTACTATTTGGCTTATGTCAAGCAGTACCGGGTTTGTTTGTGTTGTGAGCAAATTTGAGAGAATAGGTAAAATTATAAAATTATTTTTTATATATTTAAAAATTACCTGGGGATATTCTGGATGCGGGAAATTATCATACATACATACATACATACATATATACATATATATATATATATATATATATATATATATATATATATATATATATATATATACACTCTGTTATAATGAATATATTGAACTCTCTTTGTGGATCAGTTTTAATATTTGATAATATTACTAGGATTCACCTGGATTATATACCAAAGGATATATTACTCTGAACTATATATATATATATATATATATATATATATATATATATATATATATATATATATATATATATATATATATATATATGGGAAGATGATATGTATTTTTTTTATATACCAGAACCATGTTAGGCAAAATAAATAATATTAATAAAAATGATCTCATAAACTTCAATTCTCACTATAACACCAAAATAAAATCCAGAATAGTCATCAGATTCTATTTCAGAGCACTCAGAGAATTTATAGCTCTCAATATGTATATGATGAGGAGAAATACATTGAAAATACTTCTAAGCTCCTCCAATACCCTAATTATTTTTTAGGCTTGTAAAAATAGTGGAGTGAACTATTCTGACAAATTTAACGAATTAAATATACTTTTGTGCCTACCAACTCTATCACAACTACAATTGAAGGGAATTTATCTGAGCTTAAGATACAATTTATAAACAACTATATATAAAACAATAAAAATGTAATTATTACAAACCAAAATAATAATAAACAAAATCTTGAAGCAGGAATGTACTCTATCACCTGTAATAATAACTACCGCAAGTAATATATACAAGAAACCCCAGGGAATTTATATACAGGGTGCTATGGATAAATTGTCGTCTAAATTATGCAAAAATGAAAATAGCACTGACTTCATTTTAACATATATATTTAGCAAAACTACACAAAAATATCTTCAACTACTACAGAATAAATTTATTCAATAAAATCGTCATTAGCTTCAACCACGGCGTCCAGGCGACTTCGGAATCTCGTGCCACACTTCTGGGCGGTCGGTTTGCTTAAGTAGGTGAATGCTGCCATAATTCTTACTTTCAGTCCATCTTTGGTTTTACCAGAAGTTTTGTTGGTCTCTCGCTCAACTGCGCCCCACACATACTAGTCAAGGGGGTTGCAGTCTGTGGAGTTAAGTGTCCAGATGTAAGAGGTGATGTAGTTGCAGAAATTATCTGACAGCCATGACTAAGTTCTCCTGCCAGTGTGGCATGGTGCAGAATCCTATTGCCCGACATAGAGTATTCCAGCAACGACCCTTTAGACCCAGGGTAGTACTACTTCCTCAAAACACGTGGTGTAGGCCTCTGTGCTGAGCCCGAGGCCCTGCGAAAAGATGAACGGAGACATAACCTCACCATCTCTAGCGATCACTCCAAACACCTTCACAATCACCATTAGAATCATCCAACTCTTTGCGAATCGTCTGCACTGTCTACAAATTAACACCCAAACACACTGAAATGTTCGTATTGAAGCTTCCGGCGCGAATGTCAAAAAGTACAGCATGTCGCTTCCAAATTTCTAGTGGAGTGAATTGCGTCATGGTTTTCTTTTACGCACAAACAGTGCCCAACTGACCCTACTATACTGTTCAGTTGATAAAATAAAAAAACAAACAACGCGCATGTGCGAAATTAAAAATATAAAATTGCGACAGTTTACCCATTACACCTTGTATAAGATTATATCAATATAAAAGGAATTTTTTTCAAGACAAAACAATAAATGCATTAGTTGCAACACTGTAATGATTCTAAGTATAATTTCAAATTTAAAAAATGCTACTTTAATCAAAAGTGAAAACACTTTACTAAAACTAAAGTTTATAGAAAGTGCTTTAATCGCTACATCATCCACAGTAAATATGTTCTCAGGTTCTTGCAACATTTCAACTTTCCTGGCAGAAATTTTATTATCACAATGTCAGATATTTAATAACAAAATTCAGGGGAAAATAAACAACAATAAAATGAGAATAAATGAAATTGCCGAGACTATATACCCAGACATATGTAAAAAAAGAAATAAGTTTAAAATATCACCTTCCTCTCCCTTCGAGCGCATGTATAGTTACATCAACGAAAATGTAAATTTAGTCTGATGATGTCCTAAAGGACGAAACGTCATGGGAAATTTGATGTTTAAAAACAGTAATTTGACTCTGTTAACAAGACCCTTCCTCTGTAGCTAAATGTTATAGCACGCCAGGCCAAATGACGGTTCCATGTAAGATACAGGTTCGATTCCTGTCAGAAGACACATATTTTCTACGAAATCTCTCTGACATTCAGGCCGGTAAATGTAGTTAATACTATTTATTATAAACAGAGCATTTATTTAAATATTTATATCTATAAAAATAACCTATAAACAGAAAATATATGTATGGATAAATATTCGCATTAAAAATGTAAACAAGGTAATTTTTGAAACAATTCATGGATCTTTTAATGCGATATTATTTCTTGTGAAATTAATGTCTTCCGGCCTAGACATCGGAAGCCTTATTGAGGAATGATTTGGTCTGGGGAGATTAACTTCATAAGAAATAATGACGGATTAAGTAATCTGTTGCTTTTTAAAAATACTTTCTTTACTTTTTCTTGTACGAAAATAAAGTTAGCAGATATAAACTTCAAAATGTCCCAACGAGAGAAATGCATTCCTTAAGTAGGGTAATTAAGGTTTACGTTACTCTCATGGCTTCATCTGGCTCAATGGTAAATCACAATTGAATTCAAATGGTTTCCCAAATTCAAAAGCGAACACATTTTCAATTCATATTTGGTGGATCATTTTCTTTAAGACTTTCGATATCTAAGACTGTAGACATTAACTTCACTGTTTAAAAAAAAACGGGGGTGTCTACTCAATTACATGTAACCACTAAATATAGCGTTTATACTAATATATATATATATGTGTGTGTGTGTGTGTGTGTGTGTGTGTGTGTGTGTGTGTGTGTGTGTAGTGCGTGTGTGTGTATCTATGGGTGTATACAGAAGGAGAGAAAGAAAGTTGAGAAAAACGAAGTGCTAACGAAAATTTCGAGGAATCAGAACAAATTCATCAATCTTTTCATCTCTCAAGTTACGCAAGGTTTCCCGTGTCTCGCTGGATATTTCACAAGACACGGCAGGAAAAAATATTGCTCAACCAGGCGATAAAAAATCTCGTTTTTAATCATTTCTTTCTGTCTTTGAGTAATTCATTTCTAGACTTAATTTCAGAAAAATAACCGGGTTATGTGGCACAACTTTTCAAAGAATCTGTAGCTCATTTCAAACTTGTCCCATTAAATCATCGCGTACAGTCAAATTATTGTTGTTGTTGTTGTCTAATTCTCTGTAAGAAAAGGAAGCATAAAGTTTGGGGGAAAAAACGCGTTTCATTTACAAATCTACTGTCAACGCTGGTATGAAATCTAAAAGAAAAAAATAATCTGAATAAAATTTCCCTTGATTACGTGGTGAAACGTCTCAGGATTTTCATTATTATTGGCTTTGTTGGAGGTTGATCCGATTCTAGTTGGTCTTCAAGAGACAGTTTTAATGTTTGAAATTCGAATGTCACTCGTAGATTTGTACTTTATCTAAAAAGATTCTTGAACCAATACAACAGATTCAGTTAAAATTCCTTCCTCTACAAAAAATCAAAACTTCACCACCATTTAGGTATAATGTGGTTTTTCACAGTTGCATGCTATATTGTTCATATTTTATAATAAAAAAAAGAACAGTAAAATATATAATCCGGTGTTTTTATTGATATTTTTATTTTTACAAAACAGTGCTCAATACAAATTTACAAAGCATAAATATTATAAATTAACTGATTTACAAATATGGTTACATCGCTACACAGGAATTACCATGTTTCAAAAACAGAAACTAAAAAAATGCAAATTCAATTACACAATTAAATTAAAAGACTAGTTCTGTTTCATTTTCAAGCAAATTTTGAAATAACTTATTTTGAAATTTACTGAGTTTTAAAAGCACATACATTCATAATATTTGTTTCCAAGGATACGGAGAAATCCAATTATTTTGACAAGGGACGGTAACGTGTTCATTTTTATTAACGACTATTGTATCAATTATGAGTTACTTTCGAAAAGAGGTTAAATCTAGGTAGGGTAGGAGTGCCTTTTTCAACGAATTATGACATCCGTCCAACGCATGTCGTCTGGTGCTTATCAACGACAAAAAGTTTTTCGGTGTTATTTCCGTTAAATTTGTACTTGTATA